ATCGTGACGTAGGTATGTGGGGGCGTGTTAGAACGAGCCGTTTTAGGTAGGCGTGGTTGACTCTTAACTTTTATAAAGAATATCTCTTTGGATTTGAGACTTTAGTCTTTGCAACTTTACAGATCTTCTTTATGCACCAAGAGCTTGTAACACCTCAAAGAGAAAGGAAAAATTGAAATCGCATCATATGACCCCTTTAATTAGAAGCTGCTGCTTACTCCTGCTTCGTAGTCCTGGAGGTGTTGGTGTGAATGTGTGTTTGGTTGAGGTGGACAATTTGGCAAAAACTGCCTCTGAATGTGAATACACTCCTAACTTCGTAGTTTTCTGTGATGTTATTATCTCCATCCCTTTCTTGCCAAGTGTCTTGCAACCCATTCTCATGAGATAACCTAATTATTTTACAAGGTGGCGATTTCACAAGGAATTGTACGATTTTATTTGAGTGTTGATTTTTTTATTTATTTTTTTTAGAAGAAGCTCCTGGAAGCTCCTACCCTGTCCCCACCTCAAAACCTAACCATCAGTGGGGAGTAAGCAGTATGAAAACATACGAATGTGATCGTGCTAATTCATACAGATTAGCCGCTAATTTGCTTAAATGTTCAATAGTTATGAACTGCATGTGCTCCAGAATTTTTTCAATTGGTTCTAATATGGATGGGTTAAGATTGTCAACCAGTTGTCCACCAGTTTGAATATATGATTAGTAGGAATGTAACGATTAACCGCGAGCCGGTTGAAAATCGCTTCAAATATGTGATGTTTCAAATCGGTTGAGATGTTAAAGGTGACATATCATGAAAATCTGACTTTTTCCGGTTTTAGTGCTATAATCGGGTCCCCAGTGCATCTTCCAACCCAGGAAACGTGAAAAAGTTTAACCCAATAACTTTGTTTTGGTAAGCCTTTTTCTGCAAGCGTCTGAAAAAACGAGCGCGTCAGATTTCGCTCCCTTTGTGATGTGGCAAAGGGATCTTATTATAATATCACCGCCCCTTAATCTGCACGTTTCCACTCACGGAGCCGGCATTCTTGTTTTTCGCAAGCAACAATGGTGTACCAGTTCTAGCAACATGGCAAAAGTTCGAGCAAAGCATGCTAACTGTTCTATTGTTAGCTGCACAGACGAGCACAGAACACTATTTAGAGTCCCAGCCCAGAGGAGACAAGAGAGCAGTGGATGTATTTATTTACTGTATATTACGCTGCTGCCACACAGATCTAATATAAACATGTGATTTCTTTCCCAGCTGTTTACCGTCACAGACATAACCTACTGTTTTTGTAAATGTGTTTTTAACAAACTTTTGTGCATTTGACAGTTTAAGCACAATAAGACATGAAAGAGAACTTAGTTTAGTACTCACATGCCATGTGACAGCCGCTTTCTGTTCGTGTGCTTTGGATGTGTGCGCTCAGAAAACACTAGCCTATATCAGAAGTTTAAACTAATGTGGCTTTAAAACGCATGATTTCAGTGTTATAGACATGATAATCAAAACCAAACAGATCTTTTTTTATCAGATTATCTGATGTATGAGCTGTAAAGGAACAGCCCTATTCTGGTAAAGGGGGCGGGGAGCAGCAGCTCATTTGCATTTAAAGATAAATGCACAAAAACAGCGTGTTTCTGCTTCCTCTCAAAATAGGCATTTTGAAAATGATATAATAAATGATCAGTGGGGTATTTTGAGCTGAAACTTCACAGTCACATTCTGGGGACACCTGGGACTTATATTACATATTGTAGAAAGGGGCATAATAGGTAACCTTTAAATGAATCGCGATACATGTTTTGAACAGCAGGGGCTGCTGTTTACTGCAAACTCGCTTTCATGCGCAATAGCGGTGAACAACAAGTTGTAGCAAACAGTTTAAACTTTAAAGCATGGCGACGACGAGTGTGGATATTGAGGAAGCCTGGTCCTCATTCAAATCAGGTGAGGTGGTAACAGACAAAACAAAAACCGTGTGCAAACACTGCAAGAAGACGTTTACATACACTAACAGCACCACGAATATGTTGCAGCACATAAACCGTTACCACAGTGAAAAATCCAGTCACAGCTGTCTGTATGCAAAAAGCTATTAGGCCAAACCACACTGACCAAAGGATTTGCAGCCCGCTCAATCCGACGAGTGCGAGAGCTGCGGCGATCACACGGTGCATCGGTGTCTTCATGGCAAAAGATATGAGGCCGTTTTCTGTAGTAGAAAATGAAGGATTTCGGCTTCTGGTGAACACACTGGAACTCAGATACACAATCCCATCACGTCCCCACTTTAGCCAGACTGTCGTGCCAACGCTTTACAGAGAAACAAAATCTAAGGTGGTTGAGACACTCGGAAAGGCAGACAGCGTGTCAATTACAGCCGACAGCTGGACGTCCAGGGCTACCCAGAGTTATCTTACAGTCACAGCCCATTTGATAACCAGCGAGTGGGAGATGGTCAATTTTGTCCTTCAAACTCGCCCTCTGTCTGAAACACACACCTGGGCAAATATTGCTGAAGTTTTAAAATCAGCTGTGAGTGAATGGGGGCTTCAAAAAGCTAACCGTGGAATTGTTGTTGTGACAGACAATGTGAGAAATATGGATGTTGCTGTCAGAGAGGCTGGGCTAGGCGAGTGGGAGATGGTCAATTTTGTCCTTCAAACTCGCCCTCTGTCTGAAACACACACCTGGGCAAATATTGCTGAAGTTTTAAAATCAGCTGTGAGTGAATGGGGGCTTCAAAAAGCTAACCGTGGAATTGTTGTTGTGAAATATGGATGTTGCTGTCAGAGAGGCTGGGCTAGCCCCACATGTCAGGTGTTTTGCCCACACTTTAAACTTCGCCAGCCAAGCAGGTTTGAGTGTGCCACGAGTGAGTCGTTTGTTGAGCAGATATAAGGCGCATTGCTCCACGGCAGGGGCGTAGATTACGCGGGGGGCGCGGGGGACGAATATATTTTAAAATGTAATTTATAGTGATTTCAAAGCTACATTTTTTTTGCACCATTACTCCAGTCACACGACCCTTCAGAAATAATTCTGATATTCTGATTTGCTGCTCAAAAAACATTAATAATAATAATAATAATAATTTAAAAAGTTTCTTGAGCAGTAAATCAGCATATAAGAATGATTTCTGAAGGATGTGACACTGAAGACTGGAGTA